ATGATGATCCAGATAAAAGAAACAAATGATGTGATCGATAAATGGCTTAGACTTTGGATGGTAGCGGGGCGTGTTAAATGTCATCTGAAGGAGGGACCTCACCACACGAAGGTGAGGATGTGTTTCGAATTCCCGGTCAAAGTGAAGAAGAGGACGACTGTACTTCAAACAGTTTCCCGCCATCCGAAGCTCATCTGCAGTGTGCACATTCGTTAATTGCAGCTTCACACTGGGGCCGTGAGGGGACTGGGCAATCCACATGTAACTAATGTCATGCCGGTGAGCCTCAATTAAAAGGAAACTATTGCATTGATGAAGCGAGCAAAGCTCCACCAAATCATCCCCAAGTTTATGAGTTCGACCAATTTTGGGATGTTCCCGCGAGTGTGGCATCAGGCCACGAATGTCCGTCAGCAAATGACGATCTTTACTGGAGATGCTGCGTAAACCAAGAACCAGACACTTCTGTCGATTTGTCATTCGCTTGTCCGTAGTCGCGCGTTTCAGTTGCATCTCCCCTATCATGGACTCTCCCCCCTCGCCCCCTGTCGATGGGAATGTGTTGGTCTCCTTCTCCTTTTCATCGCATTCCCCTCGCTGACGTTTCCTTGCCCTCACCATCGCTTATTTCCCTTGCGTGCCTGTTCTCTTTCCTTCTCTCTCTCTCTCCCTCTTTTGAGTGCGTGGGCGCTCTCCGCAAAGTATTCGTCCATGTGCCAATTGACGGGGAATGGTGGGTTTAAAAAGCAAAAGCAACCAGGAAAAAAAATATAAACAAAAGATTTACAGCAACATCCAATGACGCCACCGCTGCAGCCCAGCACACCCAACGCTGGCAACAGCATCAAAAACAACACAGAAGTTAACGGCGCATTACTGGAACTAGCATGATCACAAGACAAGAAAAAAAGCAACAAAAAAGAGGCGTTACCCCGGCCACACAACCAATCGTACACCACACGGTGCTACCAAACTTCTTTTTCGTTGGTTTTCACTGAAAAGGAAAGGAAGCAAGCGGAGGCAGAGCCGCCGCTAGACAACGTTAAACTGGACAAGGAAGAACCCCACAAGGGAAATGATGAGCACACAACAACATACATTCATAAAGGTGTTCAGCGGTTTTTTCTCCCTCATAAACTTGCCAATACGGCGGTTAACATTACGCAACCGCTCTACTTGAGTACTCATATGCTGTTCTGTCTTATCCAACATTCGATTCTGCATGTCAATCTGTGCACCAATCTCAATCGCCAAGTTGTGCAATCTCCCCACCCCTGCCTTCAGTCGATCCAACCCCTCATCTATCTTGGCATCCTTTGCCGCAATTACCTTCATCGTCTCCTTTGTATCTTCATGCTCCTCTAAGCGCCCGCCACCCACGGTATTATCATGCAATTCAATGCCCTCGTTAGGATCTACATGACCACCTTCGCCCGTTTGCGTTCGTCGCAGCATCAAAAGTTGTTGGCGTAGTTGTGCCTTGCGTCCAAATTGCATTTCTTCGCCAATATCCAAGCCTTTTTCGTCCACTGAAGACCGCCGTTGGTCCAAATCCCGCACCAGTTCAAGTGTGGAGAGGCATTCATTATATTGAGCCCTCCGCTCATTGAGTTGTTTTTCCAAAAGTGTTACTTTTCTCCTGCTTGGCTTTTTCTTTTTGTTTTCTTGTGCAAGAGCGGTTTCAGTGGCGTCCACAAATTTTTTAATCTCCTCAATGAGCGTCTCCATAGTGCGTATGTCTTTACGAATAGCATAACACTCCTCAATGGCAATGCGATCCTGGCCGTGCTGCTTCAAACCTTCGTTGCGGCTTTTGATGGCCTCTTTCGTTCGGGTGACACAGCGGATGAACGCCAGCGACAAGTCACGCAGCGGATCGCCCGTAGACTCCTCCTCCTTCTCATCTTCGCGACCGGCCCTACTCCGTATGCGGCGGATACGTTTGATGGTTTCTCGCAGCGTGGAGCGCATCAAGCCATCGCTGCTCGGCAAATATTCTGCCATCAACCACCCTAACCACCGTCACTACCACTACCACTACTACTAGAGATTCCTCATCGACAAGCGCATCGATGACAGAAAAAAAATATCCACGACACGACAAAAAGAGGGAAAAAATTAAAAAAAAAAAAAAAACCGAAGAGGGCATTGTCACAGTCCTTATATTCACAGTCCAAGAGACTATTTTCCCTCACCATATCCTCCCCCAGTGAAAGAACTCTATCATTCTCATTTTCCTTGCTCCTCTCTCGGGAAGAAGGGCGCGAAAGTTTAAAATGCTCAGTGCGAGTCAAGCAGCATGACATCCTCGTTCTTAGATAGTTAAAAAGAGTTACACAGCATGGTGAAGTTAAATACGACACTTCCTATTTTTCGTTGCTGATTGTATTTTTTTCTTTTTTCCTATTTTTTTTTTTCCCTTTTTCTCTATTTATGTTTTTTTGTCCTTACGAGAACCCATTCCCCGAAAGCAGGAAAAAGCCAATCACCACACACCTCCGCCATTACCTGGATGACGGTTGAATGTTCCAGACTCACGGAGATGGCGCAGTGGGGCGTCTGCAGAATCACTTTGTAGCATTCGGTTGACAGTCTGTGGCATGAAATTCCTCTGTGGCTGCTGCTGCTGCACGGGTGGTGGTGGTGCGTAAGAGCTGTACTGCATCCCCTGGTGGAACATTCTTTGACCACGCTCCTGCAGCGACCAATTTGCGTTTGTGTAATCCACTGTGTGACCTGGCTGTGAGCCCCAATGTTGGCCTCGACTTATTTCAGAGGTTCCACTCATTCCACCAAAGGGTCTAGCAGTTGTCGTCTCCGGACGATAAAACTGCTGTTGAAGTTGCGTCGCCGTGGGAGGTGTTGGGGGCTTACCCGCTTGCCCAGAAAATGTATAGACTCCCATGTAATCCGCAGCGGTTGCCATAGTACGAGGCGGTAAATTCACAGACTCCTCCACAATTCTGTCAATTTCAAGCACGTAGTACTTGATAGAAGGCACCTCCATCAATTCTTCCTCCGGAAGTGGTGGGATGACGGCTTGAACAATAGCAGTGTCCTGCTGCATGGTGGGATAAGCAATATCTTCGCTCTCATTGTTCATGTTGTGAACGTTAATAGAGTCTTCTTGAATATCATGCATCAGATCTACAGCATCATTTTCCACATGAACGACTTCTGCAATGTCCTCATGTGACTCTTCCGGTTGGATATTCATAACCACATTTTCTGTCTTCCTTCGTACAACATCGGCAAAGGAAAGTGAACTACCTCCCTTGACCCAACTGGTGGTAGTAGCCACCTGCACTTTCTGCTGTTGGGAAGGGCCATTCGCGGCCTGAACACGTTTCGGATGTGTCTCATCCGCCCTGCGCCCTACAGACGCCTTCTTTATGGCATCACCAGCTGCAAACTTACGTTTATTCTCTTTGAGTGGGCGCTGACGGCTAGGTCCCTTTACTTCGCCTTTCGCCTCACTCACCCTGTTCTTGAAGTTCATTTACGCTCGTAAACTTTTCTTTAGGATCATTCGCATTAAAATTTTAAATTTTCCAACACGATACACAAAAGAAACACAAACACACACACACACACACACACAAAAAAAAAAAAAAAAAAAAAAGAGCGTTCCTCATGACAAATGAACAACACAAACCATCTCATTCACGAAGAAACCAACAGGCACAAAAATGCCCGTAAAATCCACCAACACACACAAACAGAGCACGCAGGTGGCGCTGTAAAAAACAAAAAAAACGCAACCCAAATGTTGTACCAGGAGATACCCAGTCATGCGGCGATCATCTTGCTTCCCATTGTAAGGAAGTCGGAGTGCTCATCCGTGGGGTCACGCGAGACCTCCGTCTCAGCCCAAAGGTCTGGCGTCAGGAAGCCGTAAGTCTTGCGCAGTGCATAGAAGGTCGCCATGATGAAGTTGCCACGCGTGCGGGTGTTGCCGCAGGAGCTCGTGTACACGTCCTCAACGCCGGCAAACTCAAGAATCTTCTTCGGGACGGGTGCCGCGACAATGCCAGCACCACGCGGCGCGGGGATCAGACGGACGGACACGGAGCCGCATTTGCCAGTCACCTTCATCGGGATCGTGTGTGGCTCGCCAATCTTGTTACCCCAGTAGCCGCGGCGGATGGGAACAACGTTCAGCTTGGCAGCAATCATGGAGGCGCGGATGGCAAGGGACACCTCTTTGCCGACGCGGGCGCCCACGCCGATGTGGCCGTTGCCATCGCCAACAATGTTGAATGCCTTGAAGCGCGTGCGCTGGCCGGCCGACGTCGCCTTCTGCACAGGGACAATCAGCATCAGCTCGTCACGCATGTCACTCTCCTTGATGAGCTGGTCCACAATCTGGTGCTCCTTGATGGGCATCGAGAAGAGGAAGATCTCCTCCAGAGAAGTGATCTTCTGCTCCTTCACAAGACGTCCGAGCTTCGTGCAAGGGACCCACTCCTCCTTCTCGTTGCTGCCTCCGCGGCCTCCACGGCCTCCACGGCCGCCGCGACCTCCACGGCCACGGCCAAAGCCGCGCTGTTCACCAGAGGGTGCGCGTTGGGCATCAGCCATTGCTGTCAGGTATCTCCTCAACAAGCGGCTATGGAAAAATTGTTCATGCCACAGTAACAACAGAAACAAAGAAGCATGTGGCGTCAGAAACAGTCACGTCAGGAAAAAATCTAGTGGAAAAAATGGCCAAATTTATATCCATAGAAAAATTAAGGAAAAGATTATGTATGAACAATAATAATAATAATTAAAAAAATTGATTCCCCTACGGCCTTTAAATGACTTATATCCACTTGCACTCGGGTAGAAATAATTTGCCACTCAATTCTGTCGTCTTTCTATGAATAATGACTCAATATGTATTCGCGTGACGCGCCAACCACGAAGACTCTTCGTGCATAGAGACAACAACAACAACAAAAGTGTACGAAAACCTTTTACAGCTTTGTTTCTCCCTCCAGTGGGCGCAAGAAGTTGCCAGGGACAAGTCCTTTTTGTACTGGCCGTTCAGCTGTGTCCATATGAATTGCTTCACACCATCCATTCTCTGCATATTCTTCAATTAAAAAACGGTCCCCTGCCTTAAATCCAATAAAGCCTTCCCGATCCGGTGACTCGTAGTCAAAAACAGCAACAAAAAGACGCCCGCCCTTACCGCTCTTATTGCCCATAGAATCCAAAAAAGATGCCGTGTAATCCGTGGAAAATTCAGAAGACACATCGTCACTACTTAACTCCCCACTCTGCGAAATTCTGTTCTCTAAGCTTTCTTCATCACTGGTGGTATGCATACCACGTTTCTGATGATGAGTTGCTCGCCGCTCATTTGCATCGCGGTAGCGCCTTTGCAGACCGTATAGCGTTTCCATTAATAAAAAAAATGCGGATATCATAAGCCAGCCTTTCCATTTGTGTGTCCCAGGAACTAATCCCCGGCTCGCCACCTCCTTCTTGGCTCTTGCGACCGTCTCTTGTGTCACTTTGCGTGAAACATTATCCTCTTGACTTTTGACAAGGGATTTCAGAACCTTAACGCTGTAGTAAGTCCCGAGTCCGACACCAAACAGCTCAAGACCTGAACGCATCAGTTGAATTAGGGTCTGCAACACGTGACCAGCAATCTCAATGGCCGAATGAATGGCAAATTGTCTCCTTTGTTGACGATGCTTTTCAATAGCATCCTTTTCTTCTTTCCGTTCCCTCCGCCGACGTGCCCTGCGGTCTTGAGAAGACTCTTCAATGGCGGGCCTACTAGATACAGCGACCTGAGGTTGATCCGATTGAAGTGACAGTGTACCATTCGCGCCCTGGCCACCGGGTAATGTTGAAAGGCCATTCATTCCCCCTGGCATCCCTCCGTTAATCATGCCGCCCGACATGCCGCCTGTTAACCCCCCCATTGTACCCATACCACCACCATACATAGAAGACATTCCTCCTCCATAATTCCCATACATAGAAGACATTCCTCCCCCATAATTCCCATACATAGAAGACATTCCTCCTCCATAATTCCCATACATGGGAGAGATTCCTCCCCCATAATTTCCATACATGGAAGGCATTCCGCCCCCATAAACCCCGCAGCCACCGTACATTCCTCCTTTAAAAAGAAAAAAAAAAAGGAGCTTGCTACTTCACAATAAATACACATATATATGCATATATAAGAGAAGAAAGCAAAATCCAGGAATATGAGCCAAAATAAAAATAAAAATAAAGCCAACCAGGAGTGTTTCCATTCCCAAAAGCATAACCCATACACGTTTGAACGTATATTAGCTCTGCGCCAACCATACTTGTACCATGACATGATACAAGGTAAAACCTTGGCAAAAAAAAAAAAAAAAAGCAGTTAATACATAAGAATAAGCATAAAAAACTGGCTCTATTATTCACTTGATTAAAGCATCGCATGTTCTACTGTGTCCAGCAAGGTGGAAGGCACATTTACAACTTCCACTCGTCCAGGTTGATCGGTTGTCCAGACCTTTTCGCCTCCCTCAAGGCATCAAGCTTCGCTTGCATTTCGGCTTCAATACGGTCCGTTTCGCGTCGCATTGCCTCAACGTCATCTTGATGTCGCTGGCGTTCCTTCACAAATTGCTCCAATATGGCCCTTCTTTTTCCGCCAAGCTCCTCTGAAGCCTTGCGACGGGCTTCCTCTTGCTCCGCGTTAAACTGACGCCGCGTCTCCTCTTCGTGAAGATTTGTCTGACGTCGGCGCTCTTCCTCAAGCCTTCTGGCATCCTCCTCCCGTAACCTCCGCTCCTCGCGTTCCTTTTCATACGCCTCATAGTCAGCTTGGTTGGCGAGAGCCACTTCTATCTTTTCTTCCGCTCGTTGAAGCTCTAATGCCAACTCCTTCTCGCGCTGCCGTTGACGTTCAAGACGCGCGTGTTGCTGATCCGTTGATTCTTGACGAGCCAATTCCCTCTCTGTAGCCAAGCGACGACGCTCATCCTCGAGCTCCTTTTTCATCATCGCGAGCTCTCTGAGATGGGCATCAAGATCTTCTTGTTGCCTTTTCTGAACTTCGGAGTATGCGGCCATTTTTTGTTTTTCCTCTTCCGCCTTACGAATTTTTGAGGCCATTTCCTTTTCATGACGAAGTAACTCTCCCTCCCACTCCCGTTGAGCGCGTGCACGTTCGATTTCTTCTTCTCGCTCTCTTTCCCGACGCTCCTGCAGTATGCGCCATTCCTCCGCCCGCCGCTTCTCCTCGAATTCTAGCTTCTTCGCATAATCTAGCTTTGCCTTGAACACCTCTTCTGCTTGTCTAAGTTCTTCTTGTTTTCTTTTGAACCACTCTGCAAAACTCTGCTGATTGGCACCCGCGCCACGAAAACCATCTCTGTTGTCCCTTCCGAAAGGAGCAGAGCCTCCGTACGTTCCCTTTTGGTATTGCTTGTAAACGTCCTCAAACAACTTTTCATCCACAGGCTTTCTAGAGGCACCACTGGCAAACGATGGTTTGGGTGCAGGATTTGGAACCCTCGGGCTTTTATTATTTCCCTGCGTCGGTTTTGGTCCGTTGCGCCCGGTTGCATGTGCTACCGGTCTCCTACCATCACGTAAGGCCATTTCTTGATCGTACTTCCTTCGCTTTGTGGGAGATCCAAGTACTTGATATGCATTCAGCACCAATTTAAACACGGCCTCCCCCTCGGGGTTCTTATCTGGGTGAAGCTCCAGCGCCCTCAACTTGTACGCTTCCCGAATACCGTCCTTAGACGCCGTCCTCGGCACTCCCAGAAGGGCATAATAGTCCTGCTGCATCTGCATTTGATATTATGGCCTTACTTGAAACTATCCCCCGCAACAACAACAACAAGGAAAAAAAAAGAAGAGGGGAAAAAATAAAGATATCCCAGCGCATCAAATCACTCACAAGACACGGCAAACCCCAGTCCTTTCGACACTCACCTCCCACCCCCTTTCACAGCATCTTTTTTTTTTTTTTTTTGCGTCTTCCCTTCTTCTTCTTAATGTAAATTCAGTGCCGTTTACACCGCCAGCCGCATCACGTGTGGTGCAACACAAAAGTAAATAAATAAATTATAAGAGATACATTCCTGCGGCAACAAGTGGTGGTGCAAAAGCCCATACCAGTAACAACAAGAAAGAAAAGTTCAAACGCACATGCACGCACAGAAACACACATACACACACAAACAAACAGTAAAAGCAAACAACAAAAAAAAAACCGGTGATTTTTCAATTCATCAATTCTATTCCGTCGTTTCGTCCCTTTTACGTCCACTTCGTTCTATTTCGGCCACAGAAGCCTCCCAATCCATATCATCCAGCAGACGTTGGGACTGTCTCAAAGCCGTTGGAACACGTGAAAGCACGAATGCCAAAGCAGCAAGTATAACCATCGTTTCCCCCCAAAGCCCAATGTAGTCATGAAGAAAATCCAGCCAAGCCAGTATAACACGGTTCTTGTACACGCCCAGTGAAATTTCCTGCCCCCAACCACCACTTCTAGCACTCATGTGACGCATATGCTCCGGCGGCTTCATACCATACAGAAGATAATAGTTCCTGGCCTCTGGATTCACAAGAATATCATACGCATCCTTCAGTTCCTCCAGCGCCATCTCTCGATCTTCTTCTTCCTTTTCATTCTCCTCCACTTTCTTCTTCTTTGCTTCATAAGCCTGTTTTAAATCTGCGGCATCTAAAGACCGTTTTGACTTTGTGTCCTTCGCGTCCAGCAAAACCCCGTAAAGTTCACGATCCACTTGAGAAGCCAGGCGATTATAAGCCAACTCCACCTGTTTGCTTTTGGCCTCACAAGATCGGCCACAATGCACAAGTTGCCCTCGCTGTTTTTGATGCTCCTTATACGCTCGACGAATTTCTTTGCGGACCCGGTAATTTTCTCGTCGCCGCTCCTTATCCG